GTGCGCGCATCCATCCACCAGGAGTACCTTGAGTCCATTCACCAGCTTTATGAGGAGTGGCTAATCAGGCGTAGCTCCTGGCCTGTTCCTGCTCCTGTGTTGGTGAGTGTTCACACGAGCACAGCTTTGCTTTCAGGTAGTACTCTCACACCACAGACACACACAGTGAATGATAACAATGAATTGGGGAAACCTTGGGTTCTTGTCTCATGCCACCCACCTAAATATTGTTGCAACTAAGCCCATAACAAGGACGGGACGGTGCACTCTTCCACACTGATTAGAAACACGACGAGGAACCTGGCCCAAACTCCCAGGTCTGGTTGACCCAAGTTGTTTTTGAAGCACGAGTTGTGTCAGTGTGATTGGACTCGTTCTTATTAAGTGCTTTTCTACTCAAAGCATGTCATACTGTATGCCTCATTCACCCATCCACACACAACACATACGAGCACTGTTTTCTATTCTTTCTATCCAGCTCTATCCACTCATTTAGAAGATCTTTGCTGCTCACTGTATAGAAGAGCCTGTGTAGTGGTGTTCTTCCTGTTCATGCATTTATTACTTCTAGGCTGGACATATTCATTCTTATCAGGATGTCCTAAAAACTCCCTGAAAAGCCTTCAGTTGATCCAAAATACTGCAGTGACAGGGACGTTCAGCCCCCACAGGAGAGGCGGAGCCTTCAGCTTTCAGCCGTCTCTTTTGCAGTACCAGCTCTGTTTTGATTCAGAAGACTGTCTGCTGTCAGGATTACGCTTTGTGATGAAGCATATTCAACCCCACTATGAAGAACGCTTGGGAAAGCCGTCCCTACAATTAGTTTTATCCAGGTTTGTCCTTTAGTGCAGCGTAGAGACACTGTATCATTGTTTGTTTTCCCCGCTTCCCCCAAAATACAGGCTTTAATCTGGTTTGGAGCCATGTTTTTGCTGCTTTCTGTGTCGAGTAAGTCCCCTCATAGCCAACCCTGATCTTCCTGATATTTAAGAATGATGTGTGTGTTTGCAGGTGATTCCTGCTGACCACAACCTGCAGAGGATGCTGCACCAGTACGAAGAGAACCGAGCCAAGATCCTAGCAGCAAGTCTCTGATGCCCGAACACGCACTCATGCTAACCCCAACCTGACAGGAAGCTGTTACAGCACATTTTTTAAGCTGTTTCTGATCTTACACCTCGTCACATGTGACATTTTTGTATGCACTCCCAGGTCAGCCATTCCTATTCATGAAGACCAATCTCAGTACATTTAATTGCAGTATTAAAGTAAAATGTAATCGATGTGCTCACAAGAAACTATCGAGAAACTGAACATGAGAGCGGATCATTCCAGTGCTCGAGCCCAAGCCTGTCAGCCTTCAAAGATGCTGCGCGCTCAGGCTGGTCCTTGCATCTTATCTGCTGAGTTTTTCCTGAGAGCGTGATTAATCCTCTGAGTCTGAGGAAGTGTGTAAGTGAAAACTCTTCATACAGAACAAGTCCAGTGACAGCGTTGTGTCACTTCAGACCACAAGTTATAGGTCCTGGTCTGATCACTCCTCTGTCCTTTACCTGCCTGCATCTGCTCTGCCACCTGAATGAAGGAGCCTATTTCCATGACAACATTTAGTCAGTGTTTGAACAGGCTGTGTGATCCGGCACTGTGAAAAATCTGCAGCCACTGACAGCCTGACGCCCTGGAGCCTTGAACTCGGGGACACGTTGGAGCTTCCTGAGTGATGCTGTGGGCTCTCTGCCTTCTCTTTCCTTACCCGGATGATTGAGCGTACTTAAAGACTCACTGCCAGGTCACATGACTGATCAGTCGAGTTTACAGCGCTTGAAGGATCAAGCAGAGTTGGCTGCATTGTGTTAGGAATGAAATGTGTGTAAAAATTTGTGTTTTATTTTATACACTTTGCAATTGTGCTCATTGAGAGTTGGCACTCTGTGTAATAAAAGTCAAAAGCATCAAGTAAACAATATGATTGAACTGAATTATTGGCGTGTTGACTGCAGAGGGATTAGCAAACTGCTTGCACATCAGTTAAAGTCAGGGTGATATTTTTCTGGGCTGTGGGAGGCCGACAGACTTGGGTAATGAATAGAAAACTCGTCTTGGGGCTGCAAGTATAAAGCAGCTTGAGCTCAAACATTGCTGTGGTTTGGTGCTATAAATAAACGTGACAGCTTTTAACCAAAGGGAAAAAAAATGACCCAAACTATTGTTTGTCCTCCATCCAGATCCACCAACAGAAGATTAGTGACCTCAGACCACAGAGGCAGCATGCATACACATGTTTTTGCACTGCACCACTTTACTTAGACGTCACTCTTCCATCCAACACATATAATGAACTAATAAAATATTTCTTACAAGTCAAAGTTGGGTTTTTGTCTCGTATCCTACAGAAATGGCATTCAACGCGAGTCTGTAATTAGACTTTCAATGTAAATAATATTTATGACAGGCTTAGGGCGTCGGGGGGTTCCTGGAGGCGTCTTCCTTGGGG